GCAGGGCCGTCTTAAAAATATAGGTGGCAGTTGGTTGACAGGGCCGTCTTAACAACATAGGTGGCAGTTGGTTGGCAGGGCCGTCTTAACAACATAGGTGGCAGTTGGTTGACAGGGCCGTCTTAACAACATAGGGGGCAGTTGGTTGGCTGGGCCGTCTTAACAACATAGGTGGCAGTTGGTTGGCTGGGCCGTCTTAACAACATGGGTGGCAGTTGGTTGGCACGTCGCTAGTTGTTCAACTAATGCAGGAAATTTAGTTAATAGAAATTCGGTAATTCGTCTTTTTATTTATTGATTTGGGAGGGTGCAGGGGCTGCTCATAGTTACCATTTTGTGTGTCTATAGTGTGGTCAGATAAACATCGTGTGTAATGAAGTGGCTAAAGTTTATTTCAAATGGCGTGGTTAATAGTAGTGTAAATCGTGTGACTAGCTTGTATGCATATTATGTTGTAGTGACGTTTGGGCTGCCTGGTGGGGTAACACCAATGTTCCCTCTAAGGTTTGTTGGTTCGTGTGCAAAATCATGCAGTTGTGTGCAAAGTTTTACAGCGAACGACAACGCACAAAATAACCCCCCTACCCCCCCCCCCCCCCTTTCCGGCAACAACTTTTCATAAAGAAAAGTTCACGGTACTAAATCTAGTTCACGACAATTGACTAATTTTTTGCCCACCACTTTACGTGCAGGCCTACTAACTACAAAACCCTAACACCTGAGCCTAACACAATATTTATGTTTTGTGGTTACGTGTAAATTAAAATAATCGTCAAATGCAATATGCTAATCGTTAAATACAGGGGGAGATAATCCTATCCCCAAAACCATTTCAAGTATAATGAATCTTTATTAGCACAATAAGTCAATTGGTATAAAAGTTTGGTGGATATTACTAGTACACACGGTATGCATCCATTCACTCATTCCATTGACATTTTTGTGCTTTGAGGCCGAGTGTTTAATCCTTTACTCGTGATTTGTGGGTGCGTGTTTGGTGCTGCGAGTATTTGTGTAGCTGTTGCTATGTGCTTTGCAATTGCGACGTATTTGGGTATGGGAAATAATGTTGTAAAATTATATGTTTTTTATTGTTAGTAATGGAGTTGCAGAGTGAGGACGGCATGAAAGGAAGACGCTCTGTTTATTTAATAAAGAGACACTGGTCATAGGAATCTTTGGTTTGTTACATAATTAATTACACCTCAGACGTAACGAGGCAATTGAATTGTTAAATGCAGTTTGTAATACAGAACTGGGGTGGGGGGTGGTTCATTTCCCTCCCCCCTCCCCCCACCACCTCCCATAAAAAAACAAAAAAACAGAAGAAAAAAAAACAAGACGATTTCTCCGTACAGTGTAATCGAAAGTTTTCCCATGTAATATGTAAGCTAAGTGCGTGACACAAGATGTGAAAAAATGGTGCTGTCTAATTATTAAAATCGGGGCTAATTACGCATGTTCCTACACCCATGATTACAAACATAAGTTGTGGGCCATCCAAATCAATTCAGTGGCTGGACTGACAGACCAATAGTTACTTAATTAAACTGTAATGAATACGTCTCATGCTCATGGTCACTGTTAGACGCCCAACAGGATTGATGGAGGCTACTTTGAAAACTTAAAACAATACTGTTGTTTTTTTAAAAAATATATTGTGAATGATATCGCAATATTTTGTTCCTCATATTTGATCGTTCTGTACACTGTGATACTTAAGAATTCTGTTTTGTATGGCTTATGTTGTGTTTGAAAAAAAAAAACGGGGTGGGGGGTATTTTTGGGCATAGGTTCTAGAAATAGGTGATTACTCCTCTGACCCCATCCGACCCCCCTTTCACGACCCTGCCATCTTGCACCAAAGGGTAAACCTTAAACCAGCATCAGTAATTGTATCACTGGCACACCCTTGCCTGATGGCCTCCCCTCCCCCGCCCACAGTGGGGGAGGGGGGGGGCAAACACCCCTAATTGCACACCCTTGCCTGATGGCCTCCCCTCCCCCGCCCACAGTGGGGGAGGGGGGGCAAACACCCCTAATGGCACACCCTTGCCTGATGGCCCCCCTCCCCCGCCCACAGTGGGGAGGGGGGGGGCAAACACCCCTAATGGCACACCCTTGCCTGATGGCCCCCCCTCCCCCGCCCACAGTGGGGGAGGGGGGGCAAACACCCCTAATGGCACACCCTTGCCTGATGGCCTCCCCTCCCCCGCCCACAGTGGGGGAGGGGGGGGCAAACACCCCTAATGGCACACCCTTGCCTGATGGCCCCCCTCCCCCGCCCACAGTGGGGGAGGGGGGCAAACACCCCTAATGGCACACCCTTGCCTGATGGCCTCCCCTCCCCCGCCCACAGTGGGGGAGGGGGGGGGCAAACACCCCTAATGGTGCAGCCTTGCAAATCTTCCCAAAAGTTCATAGTGACATGGCATCTAATAAGTTAGATAGTAAAATAATATTTCTAAAAAAAATCAAGGCTGCTATTGGCGTGAAAATTGATTTTTTTTTTTTTTTTTTTTTTTCATCCTAACTCAATGTGCATCATAATTATTGATTTAACATGAGAATAATGGTATTTTTATAGTAAAAAAATGGAATGTTATGTATGGCCTGTGAAATAAGGCTTGCTGACTATTTATTGACATTATATCCCTAAATGTAGGGATCGAATTCCGGTGAAATACAGCTTTGTAAAAAGCATGTAATTACTTTTTTTTTTATTCAAAATAATTCAATACATATATACATATACAGAGTAAAACTAAAATAATGACAGGCAAATTTTCTGAAGTTTGAACTAAACAAAATGTTAACATTATAATAGAGTGTACTAAATTAAACATTTGTGTAAATTACTAATTTTTTAACATGATGTCTAAATGAGTTGGAATGATAAACTTTGAATGTATTATTTTGTCATAATATTTCTTAACATATGTTTTGAATTATGTTTTGTATTTTAAATCGAAAATTGATTATAATATTTTTCTTTAGATATACAAATTGTGTTTTCAGATTTTCCCATAAAATAGCAGAGAAACGAGGCAAAAGTTTTAGTTACAATCTTAACGAATATACGCGTATTAAAAATTCCTTTGATGTTAAAGATATTTATATAATTTTTGTTATAAATCAAAGGACGTGTTTTAAAATGTTTAGAGAAAAAATGTTGTATTTTTTGCAGTTAAGGACAAGACAAAGGGGTAGCCTTGGCCTTATCATAAAGCATATCAGATAAATATTTTCAAAAAGTCCCTTAAAACTCATCTGTTTAGGTCCGCCTATGACCTGTGATGCACCCTCCTTGCCCTACCTCATTTTCTGTTTCGGGTTGATCCTGAAGTGTCAAAGTGTCCTCGTTTTATAGCCATTTTCATTGTTTCTATAGAATAGTAGTTACTATCCTAGTGTCTCATTTGTATTTACTTAGTTTACATGTTTTTTTTTTTTTTTTTTTTTTTTTTTTTTTTTTTTTTCTACAAACATAGGCCCCATTTCTTCTTCTTATTCTGTATATTAAAGGCCCACCATCAATGTATTGATCATTCTGGCTCCTATGTATGCAGAGGGGATTCGCAATGTTTTTCTGCCTGATATTGAAGAGGATATTTCACTGGTTCCAAGGGCTACTCGGCGAGGTATCAAGAACTGGGGGTTGGAAGGTGTGAGGCAAGAGACGCAAATATGTGAAGTGTTCTCGCCTCAACTGTTCCTTTTTTTTGGAATCTTGTTCGAGCCCCAGATTGTCTATGACAAGAATGAGCAGTTCCTGTACCGTGTTATTATTATTTTTTTATTTTTTTTATGAGCCGGAACTGCCTGTCGTGGCCTGTCTAGGTGGCAGAGGGACGCGTTTCTGTTTGATGTTGGACAATAGACCAGCCCATTTTTAAAAATAATATACGCAATAATTTGAATGATTGATGTTGAGAATTCGCAATAGCAGGTAGAAAGTATCGAAGAATGCCTTTTATTATTACCCTGGTAAGATCAAGTCATACCTCTTACTATGTAATACGCAGCTAAGACATAGTTAGTTTATCAATAAGCTGCAACTGATGAAAATTAAACAAATGTCGGTTATCAACTGTAGCCTCAGTGACATTCCAGGAAGCTTAACTTAAATAGATTTTGGGGATTTCCGATTTATTTTGGCATTAAAAAAATTGTAGAGAACGTTGAAAGAGAATTGAGGGTGAGTACTTATTATTAAATCATTTAAAGTTAGCGCCTACCAATATAATATTATCCTTTATTTATATTTATTGGCTATTGGGTAAAGTCAATTGTTTGTTAGAGTTGTGTATAGCTTTATATTGTTTATATAGACAAATCTATGAATCTTCAAACATGTTTGGCATCAAAAGGAAGTGAATTAAAAAAAAATTGGCTTTATTAAGAAATGGGTAATTCGTCAGCAAAGCAACAATATTTGATTATACCTAGAACATACCTGCTATGTCACATAAAAAAAAAAAAACAACTTTTTTCTTCAACTGGAATTTCAGGTTAATGAGAGTACATTTCTATTTAACACAAGGACTAACAACATTCATATTTACTTATTAAATCTTCCATTTCAAAATTATTACATTTAAAAAAACAAAAACAAAAAAACAAACAAACAAATGTAACTTGAGTTCATTGTTATTTTCAGACCATCAGGATGGACACCAAAAAGGAGTTTGCTTACGGCCTAGCGTTGTGTGTTAAAAAGTTTTGGCAAGAAAATCAAGACACAGGCGACTTTACTGTAGTAGTGGAAGGTAGACGATTCAGTTGTTTTCGCTTCGTGCTTGAGGCATGTTCTGGGTTTTTCTCTGGCCTCTTCCGATCGGGCATGAAAGAAACGGAAGTGAACAGCGTCACGATAGGGGGGGGGGTGACCAGTGCTACATTCCAGCTCATTCTGGATGTTCTGTACACCAGTGCCGACGTCATCACAGACAAGAACGTCTTTGACATCTGGCACGCAGCCAACCAGCTGCAGGTAGAATTTTTGGTTAAAGAATGTGAGAAGTTCGCCATCAGTATGTTATCTACAGAACACTTGGCAGACACTTACCAAAACGCTAAAGTTTTTAATTCTTCAAAGGTTCTTAAAGCGACTCTAGATTTTATCATTAACAATTTTGAAAGCTGTAAAGACAATGAAACTATTCTCAAACTGGACGATTTTGAGGTACTTGCCATTGTTGACAGCCATGAGCTAAAGGTCTCCACTGAAGATTTTGTGATAGAGGCCATTTTGAAATGGGCGGATTATTACTCCGACTTCAGGGATGAAGAAAGAGTAACGGAGGCGAAAATCTTGGCAGATGCAAACACGTCTTTGGGCTCACTCGAGACTTCTGAAGACCCTACTGATCCTAATCTGAACAGCTTTCATTTTAATTCTGATGCTGACGGAAGTGATGGTGAGTTGATCAAAGGCAAGGAGCAGCAAGCCATGGGTGAAAACGTGTCTCTTGTTTCAGCACAGACTTCTGAAAATTTAAAGAACACCACTAATCCTAATCTGAACGCTTCGCATATTGATGCTGGTGCTGACGAAAAGGATGCTGAGCCAAACAATGGTAAAGAACATCAATCAACACTAAGTGAAAACCTAGGAACTGGTTCCTTGGAAATAAAGGATAAAATTGGGAATAACGATCAAGGGATAGATGACGAGGCAGTGGGCATACGCGCCAAAGACAGTTCAGAACTTCGGCGAGCGAGATTACAGTTTCTAAGGAAGCTATTTGCGGCCAGTAGAATATGTCTGGCCAGTACTCACTTCCTGAGACGTCTGCAGAAATTCAAACTGTTCGTTGAAGACTCTCGAATTCGTGACATTGTTGTAAACGCCATCTTGTATCAAACAGTCGGAGGAGGTCATGGACAGATTCCTCCGACAGCCGTCCACAGACGCTGTAGTGAATTTGTCAACGTTGCTGTCTGCGTAAACAGTGCTGGTGTAGAAGTGCTGAGCTTTCTAGACAACAAGTGGTACACGATACCAAAACTTTTTGATCTAAGTCAAAAATTATGCTTGACATATTTCAAAGATGAATTGCTCGCCGTCAATGTCAACTCTCAAAATGCTATTTCATTATATGTGTTAAGAGCAACAGCTTGGAAGAAATGTGGTGAGACTCAACAAGTGAAAACGGCTGGTTTTGGCTTTGGGTTTGCAAACCCTACTCCAACAGTGTTTACTGCTGTGAATTCGAACCCTACACCATTCGCACCTTCAGTGGAATGTAAACTTTTTATTGTCCCTCATGAAAACTATATTTATTGTTTGAAACATTCCGATAAAAAAATGTACAGACTAGACTTAAAATTATCGGCTAACACGCTGATAGAGATCTGCTCTGTACCCATTTCAAATGTAATTGAACACATCGCAACATTCGAGGACAAACTTCTTGTGTTTTGTGATGAAACGAAAGATGATTCCCGTGAGACCGAGACGCATTGCTTTGACGTCAATTCACGTATTTGGACGAGATTAAATAGCCTCGAAGGACCAGCCAAAAATTTGATCACATTCCGACATGAGGAGGTGACGTACGTCCTACAAACAACGGGAGACTTATGGAGAATGGTTTCAAAGGGATCGGGACTGATCGACTTCAAACTTGTGAAGAAGTTATGGGACTTTCACTTCGACCTTCACGGGGCAATAGCCTTCAAAGATGAGCTCTATCTTGTTGGAGATGAGGATTTGGCGAAAGAAAAGGGGGAAAACTGGCCACAACACCCGGAACTGTTTAAAAACATTAAAGTTTTTGGTCACAGAGGTAACATCTCCAATTTTGAACCATGCATCCTTCCAAGGGCTGCTCTCGCGGAAAGCTCACCTGATACGACATGGGTCAAACTGGACATCGGTGTACCCAAATAAGCTCCGGTGTTGTTAGTGGAACAAAAGCCGGTCATCTTGTTCTCTGTGTTTTGGAAAATAATAATTGTCTGACTCGTGATATTTTTATAACTAGCTGATATAACCGGCCTTACTCGGGTTTCAAATCGGAATAATCTTCTAAAACGTTATCAGGCTAAAGGTAAATTTAGAGTCCTGCGGGAAAACATTCACTGAAGTAGCAATCCATTTTTAATATGTCCCATTAAAAATAAACATTTATAAATACTTTTAGAAAACAAACTAATTCAGTTTAATATTCAAAGTGGGACACGAAAAATAAAAGCCTCATGATTTAATGACCGTTGTGACTTTAAAACAAAAATATATAATTTTTTTAAAAAGTTATTCACCAATGCCAAAGCTCTCCCGGACAAGAACCCACTCTAAAAAGGGCCATTTTAGTTATTCCTAAGATTAGGGCTATTTAAGAAATTGAATAATTGAATAGTGTAGATAAATTTTTAAATACATCCCATTAAAATCGGATAAAATCTGACACACAGATGTTGCCTTTTATATGTTTACTAGAGGGTCACCTGTGTTCGCTTATTTAATCTTCAACATTTTACAACGCCGAGAATTTAAAGTTGGAAAATTCAAGTTTATTTTATTTTAAAAGTAAAAAAACACACCGATAGTTTTAAAGGAGTTATTAACGATTACATTAACCAAGCTTGGCCAAGGTGCAAGAATGTCCGAGAAGCTTGCATTTTAACCTAAGCCTAATTGTATGTCTTTAGCTATTATAAGGAAAATAAATTTGGCAACTTCAGTCACGCATTCGGAATTTTCCAGAAACTTCCACACAAACGAACAAAAATATATTCTTCTGATTTCATTAAATTTGATGAGCATCATGGAGACTTATAGAAAACGTGAAACATTAAAAGGATGTTTTTATACTCTTAAAACCCTTATAAAAATGGAAGGTTCTAGAATAAGGAAGACCTTTAATATGGTAATAGGACGTGGGGAAGACAATTAAACCATTAAACTGGTTTGTCCAACGACCGGCGACAACATACGCCTATGTCGTACAGTATTTATAGAACTGCCTCTAGTGTCACCCACTTGTGTTAAATACGAAATACGTAACACAATATGAGGAGGGTGGAAAAGGGGAGGGGGGTACCTAAATAAAAAGAGACCAACCGAAAAATGACGTATTCAGAGTAAAAAATAAGTTACAAGTCAAGAGAATTATTTTGAAACTTCCCTGATGCTGTGAAGAGTTCGAGGCAAAACTAGGAACTGTATAATGAACCATTTCCAATCACAATTGAGTTTTTACATAAACATAACTTATACTTTAAACTATAATGCTGTGGGATATCAAATTTTTTTTATTCGTATACTGTGTGTTATATATCAACTATTTCAGTTCATTATACCGCTGTGGGATAATATATAAAGCTATTTCTATAAATTATAATATTATGTGATGTACAAAACTATTTCAATTCATTAAACCTCTATGTGATGTACAAAGATATGTCAATTGATTATTCTGATGTGTGATATATTTTGTTGTTATTTTCCGACTTTTCTTTTAGAGGATATCGTACTTTGCATATTTTCAACTCCCCTTTGTCTCAACGACTGCACAGGCGATTTGAATCCTGGTCTCATTACGTTTACTGCTAGGTATTCAATATACGACTGTAAGAAACTACAAAAAGGAACAAGAAAAAATGCATATCGTATTAGCGATGGTTGACAGTTTCTTTTTAGACATGCTTTTTTTTTTTTAGTTCTAATAAGTTATCTGTTACTTTATATGTCTTTTAGGATCCCATCGTGTGTATTTGAATCATATCATTTTGATTTCAAGCTATCTTATCATATATTCTCTTACATATATTGCTTGTGGTGTGACTGCTTCCATTTCCGGACGGCACGCAAAATATTATACCCGATGACTACGCCAAATGATAATATATTTTTGTTTAAATAACGCAACTGAGTTTGGAGTGTAATATTTTCTTTTTGGTAAATGAAATCGTCTCATGGTGTAGTAAATATTGTGTTCAAAAGTGGTTGCGACATTAGAATATTAATATAGCTCATGGGCATGAAATAAAAAAGTGTAGGAAAACTTGAGATTATTAAATGTGCGTTCGTTGAGTTCATGTTTGTTTGTCAAATAAATTTAGTAGATGGGAAGTTCACGCATTACTGTCGCCAAAGTTTGGCAAGATATAACTAGTTATAATGTATTCAGATTATTATAGAGATGTGACTAGAAATGTTGTAGCACATGGCTCTTTCTACACACCATCTAAACATCAATTATAATGTAAGTAAGTATAGATATTTATTTATATTTTTAAATTGAATTTTAGATTCATACTTTAGTATTAAGTTTATAGATACTAATGAACGGGCTCAAGTTGGCCTACATATACTACGTATCATATACAAATAGTATACTTTACATATTTATAAGACATTATAATTAAGCTACCATACTCTAAAATTAATTCAATTATTATTATTCTTATGCAAATAACCATTCTTCACCTAGCATAGATTCGTGTTCTATAAAATTTTGCTATGGCGTTCATTAGCATTTAGCTGTTTAAAATTATTTTGCAAAGCTTTGTTTATAGAGAAAAATGATTTTATCATGTTGAGCAGTTTGAAAAATAAAAGCTTTTCATGCGATATGAGTTTTTTTTTTTTTCATTTAGTGTCTTTTTGAAATGTGAAATGCTTCTCTTATGTTTAATTATGTCTTTAGGACAATAGGATGAAGTTAAATTTTCTTTACAAATAATTTGTCGGAACGGTGGGGGGGGGGGGGAGTGGGGTCCACTAAATACGCATCATCGGAAAACTCCCAAACTATCTGAAATATCTCGCCGTCACATGTTCACCGTACATGTTATGCTGTAAACTACGTTTGGTTGCTGTTCCAGTGTTCATAGCTGGTCCGCTTTGCAAGTCCTTATCGTTCAAATCAACCTCGAAATTTTGCAAACGTTTCGGACAACTAAAACCGCGCACGCGACACACTTCTAAGTATTGACAGGACACACTTCTAAGTATTGACAGGACACACTTCTAAGTATTGACAGGACACACTTCTAAGTATTGATAAGACACACTTCTAAGTATTGACAGGACACACTTCTAAGTATTGACAGGACACACTTCTAAGTATTGACAGGACACACTTCTAAGTATTGATAGGACACACTTCTAAGTATTGATAGGACACACTTCTAAGTATTGACAAGACACACTTCTAAGTATTGACAGAATACACTTCTAAGTATTGATAGGACACACTTAGTGTATTGTCTAACCAGTGATATGTAGGCTCGATGCATGTAATAATCACAATCTTTAAGTCGCATCTAGTTACAGTGTTCGATACTAACTACCTGTACCGTCATATTCGAACATAGCCTTTTGGTGTTATAAGTTACGGTCTTACTTCACTGCGGCTCTCTTATAGCGATATTTTGAGTTCACTAAGTTTTGCCACATTCCTAGTTTTAAGAAGTGGAACAACTCCGTAATTAAGCTTCTATTGCGTCGATCTAAAGGTAATTAAATAGTTCTTGATGAGTATCAAACATTTGCAATCTCTTTTCAAATTATCTTTGATCAAAAAATGAGACCAATTTTTTTTTAATTGTAGGGTTATATTTTTAATTGTAGGGTGTATATTTTCAATTGTAGGGTGTATATTTTTAATTGCAGGTTGTATATTTTTAATTGTGGGGTGTATATTTTTCATTGTAGGGTGTATATTTTCAATTGTAGGGTGTATATTTTCAATTGTTAGGGTATATATTTTCAATTGTAGGGTGTATATTTTCAACTGTAGGGTGTATATTTACAATTGTAGGGTGTATATTTTTAATTGTTAGGGTGCATATTTTTAATTGTTAGGGTGTATATTTTCAATTTTAGGGTGTATATTTTCAATTGTAGGGTGTATATTTTCAATTGTAGGGTGTATATTTTCAACTGTAGGGTGTATATTTTCAACTGTAGGGTGTATATTTTCAACTGTAGGGTGTATATTTTCAATTGTAGGGTGTATATTTTCAATTGTAGGGTGTATATTTTCAATTGTACGGTGTATATTTTCAATTGTAGGGTGTATGTTTTTAATTGTTAGGGTGTTTATTTTAAATTATTGTAAGATTGGTGTCATGCTTTACATGACTCTTGACAAAATGGAAATTTAAAGGAAAAAACAAAAAATCGCTATTTCTTAAAACAAAAGTTAATTTAACAAAGGGATGGTCACAAATAGCTCACTTTGCGTCAGTGTGGCCTATTTTTTTAGATCGGAAGGGTTTTGTATTTTCATTAAATTAGTTAGTGTATGTCGTGGTCACATTTTAAGAGATCAACAGGACAGAAATTGTAAACACTTGGCACATATCAAGTTTTAAAATTTTTATTTTTTTTTTCTTCTTCTTCTCCTTCTTATCTTTCTGTTAATACTATTATATAGAATACCAAACAATGTGCCACACTTATTTGGAAACAAAAATAGTACAAATAAAGATGAGAATGAAAATGGAAAGCTGAAAAAATCTGTTGTTTTATCGTGAACTAGTATTGCGATAATTACGTCAATTCTATTTTATTTTGGGACCTGAAACTAGTTTGATTTTTCTTTTTTAATTTTTTTTGTTTAAACTTCTTTGAGTTAAATCGTATTTTTATGTAAAGAAAGTTATTGTAGGCCTAGTCTGAAACTAAAAATACAACTCTCCAATCTAGTTAATCTGGGGATATATATTACTGCTTCAATTTCCCCTCAGATAAATCACACTTTAATACATACCTCATGACTGTTTGGAATATCTCCTGTTGTCTCAACATAATTATACCATTCTTATATGATTTCTTAAAATGACCAGTTTTTAAATACCCATAAAAGATAAAATAATAATAATAATAATAATAATAGTAATAACAGTTTATTTCATTCTTTCGAAAAATCTTCACTGGTTTTTGGTTTGTGGTGTAATGATTATCTGTAGACACCCGGTAGTTCAAATGCGCACTTGAATTTAAAATACGCAGTGAAAATAAAGTGATAGTCTATCTGACAATGTAATACAATAAGAAATGTTAAATGGGAACTGTATCCATTTACTGTAACACCCCCAAACCCCCCCCCCCCAACAAAAAAAAAAAAAAACACAAAAACAAACAAAAACAGACGTCCTAAGGCTTGTCACTTCATACACCCACCACCGTGGCGCGCAAATTGCTTTGTTAGCGGCTTTTCTTTGCTGGCAACGTCTTCGACCTCTTCATTTATCATTAACTTTTCTTTATCTGCAGATGCGGCAGGCGTCGCTATCAATAAAGAATTAATAAAGAAAGGGGGGGGGGAATCAAAGTATACATTTACCTGAAATACATCGACATAGTTAACACTGTGGATTATTAAGACGTGTTGCTACATTCACTGTCCGGGGAGGCTACACATAGATTAACGATTAAAGAATTGAATGTGTCATGTCATAAAAAAAAGATAAATGTCCTACTACAAATTTTTACCTTGACAATGACATCACTCATCACAATCTGCCCCTCCGTCCCCCCGGGGGCCCCACAAACCTACACCTCCTTACTAACCCACCACACCTTGCCCACCCTCACCCCACACGCACACCCTCTACCCACTTCAGCACTACAAAAATAAACGTGTCACCACTGGTCACGTGACATTTTAAAGATTATTTATAAACGTTTTTTTTTCTGCTCTACTTAAGTGTCTCCAGGGAAGCTAGAAAAGGTCACACAATCAATTGGACGTCTGCCCGTGAAGACCAGAGAGACGAATGGGTGGAGTGACTCGGCGTAACAAAGAACGAAGGTTGGAATCTCCTGCCGTGACATGGCGTACCCAAATGGGTGGACCACCCCCAAGTGGGCTCTGCTTTTCTTTCAATGTCGTCTGTCTCTGTAGCGTTCCAACTGGTTGTCCCCCCCCCCCCCCAAAAAAAAAAAAGACGTCTCTGATGTGTGGCGTCCACTGGTTCTCAAAGGAAATGACATCTCTGTATTGTTCCCACTGGTTGTCAAAGGAAATAACGTCTCTTTTGCGTTCCCACTGGTTGTCAAAAGACGTGAGGTCTCTGTGCTGTGGCTTTCCCCACTGGTTGTCAAAAGACCTGACGTCTCGATGGCGTTTCCAATGGTTGTCAAAATAAATGACGTCTTTTAAAAAAAAAAGAATGTGATTCAGGATCTTGATTTGTGCTACTAAAGGAAGAGATGAATCAAGCTTTGTGAAGGAAATAGTAGAACAAGGAATGGTGGATTGGGTGGGGGGGGGGGGAGGGGAAGCTTGAATCACATGACAGGAAAAAAAGATGTGAACGTTTCGGCTGAATGTCTTGTCACATTTTCATTTGTCCAGCCTGCTGAGGAAGGCTCCTCGCCGTAACGTACACATCTCATCTTTTATTTCTCGTAAATCAAGCTTCCTCACACCTTGTTCTTCTGTACATATCTTTGATTTGTGTTGCAGTGCGTGGCACCAAAGTTTGAATCAAACTAAAGGGGCATGCGACAGTGCTCTGTCATAGTTTGACGCCAGTCAGACAGTTCATGTCACTTATGAATAACTGATAAGTTTACTACTTTTTACTTCTTTTTTTTATATCAATTCCTGGTTACACATGGCGTTAGACCTGACGTTGCCCAACTGCCAAAATTTGCTGTATGCCTGAAAGAAACACTGTTTGGACGGAGACTTGGCCATTATACAATGGCAGCCATTCACAAGAGCTGCAGTGGAAAATGTTGGGTGGTCATTCCTCAAGAAGGCTTGGCATTTTATGCTCTCTTCCGCCATGAGGCTATCGAATTATGAAGATGCCCGACTGCCCCTTTTCTGAACTCATGCGGTTCTCTGCTACTTATCTCCTACTCCAACGACGTGTGCGCCTTAAAGACGTTTGTGGACCGGAGATTCAGCTCCTGCGTGCTTGCCAGAATATGTGGCGAAAGGCTAAATATATGACCAACCCTCACATTTAACAAACCCTCACATTGAGAAACCTTCCCATTGACCAACCTTCACATTGACCAACTCACATTCACTATTCCTCACAATGGCTAACCCTCACATCGAAGAATTTTCACACCAAAAAACCCTCACAGAGAAAAACCTTTATTACATTGACTAGCCTTCACATTAACCAACACGCAAATTGACCAACGCGAAAAAAGACCAATACGCACATTGACCAACACGCACATAGACCAACACGCAAATTTACCAACACGCACATTAACCAAAACGCACATTGACCAACACGCATATTAACCAACACGCACATTGACCAACACGCAAATTGGCTAACACGCACATTGACCATCCTTCACATTATCAACCTGTCGGCATATCAACAAAAACATATTATTTCCACCAACACACACATCAATACACACATTTTACACACACATCCATCCACTCATCCACACACACACACTTATACGCACACACCCGTATGAAATATAAACAAAAGCCATCGCTATTAACTGACACTTTATTTCTGACTCAACCCCTGACTCAACCTCTGACTCTGCCCCTGACTCTATTGTTCATTAGGACACCGCCCATAAGCGTTCAGATCGCAGCCTCTTGACCCCCATCGGTTGTCAGAAACCAGCGGCTCTCCTACTATTTGCCCGAGGGTGCTTGACACGAGTAGCTCGTAAAATTGTCTGATGTGATGGTGCATGTGCAGTTGGTGTGTACTTTGTTGTTAATGACGTATGAGAACGTTTCACCAGGGTAATGGCAGACACCTTTGGCATCAGCGCATTCTGGACAAGAAAGAAAAGTCATGACATTATCACGTGTCACTTGGGAGATTCGTAACATTGACATCAGTGGATGCCGAGCAGCAAAGAAAAGTCATGACGAGAACACACGTCACTTGGGAGAATCATAGCATGGAAATTTAGCACAGGATAAATATAACGTTTTCATATGTTATAGAATATTCATTACAGGACAGACGTCAAAGGTTCACCATAACATTGACATATTTCTTGAGATGTTCATCTTATTCGATTAAAACCTACCTCTCCTCTCTTGTGAGGGTATCGTGCCTCTTCTAAATTATTAGGGTATCCAACCTCTTCTCTCTTATTATCATTATTAGTGGTGGTTTTATATAGCACGGTACCCTCAGGCTCGGGCTGGGCTCACCACGCTGTACATCCATACTCATGCTGGGCTCACCACGCTGTGCATCCAGCCTCATGCTGGGCTCACCACGCTGTGCATCCAGCCTCATGCTGGGCTCACCACGCTGTACATCCAGCCTCATGCTGGGCTCACCACGCTGTACATCCAGCCTCATGCTGGGCTCACCACGCTGTACATCCAGCCTCATGCTGGGCTCACCACGCTGTACATCCAGCCTCAGGCTGGGCTCACCACGCTGTACATCCAGCCTCATGCTGGGCTCACCACGCTGTACATCCAGCCTCATGCTGGGCTCACCACGCTGTACATCCAGCCTCATGCTGGGCTCACCACGCTGTACATCCAGCCTCATGCTGGGCTCACCAAGCTGTACATAAAATTTAACAAACAAAATAATGAACTTAAAAATTAACATACATTAATTAAACAAAACAAAACAAATGGATATTCACTCCACACATTCCAGATCTGTTTACATGTCAAGCCAAGGACGGCTACCCAGCAGCATCGTTTATTGGTCAAAGGTGGGAATCAGTCAAGATAGTAGACTTCAAATAGATGTGTTTTGAGATTGGCTTTGAAGGCTGTGATAGTCGGTTTATTGCGAATGTGTAATGGAAGAGAATTACATTGTTTGGGGGCACAGAAAGAGAACGATCGTTCACTGTATGGTTTTTGTGCGAGTCTTGGGGACAGAAAGAATACGCGCATCTGCAGAGGAGCGAAGCTGTCGAAGGGGTGAATAGACAGAGAGAAGTGTGGTTAAATAGGAAAAAGGGGCGGGGGGATTCGAGAAAAAGTTGTGGCAGAGAACAGAGAGTTTGTAGTCAATACGTGCTTGTATAGGAAGTCATGAAGTGAATGAAGTGGTGGTGTGACGTGATTACGTTTTTTTGCCTTTAGAATTAGCCTAGAAGCTGAGTTTTGAACCTCTTGTAATTTTTCTAAGAAATGTTTTGATGAACCTGATAGAAGAGAGTTGCAATAGTCAAGACGAGAGAGAACTAGAGCACAGACTAGGGTTTTGTTGCGCCAACTGTGAGGTAGTGGTGGATGGAGCTGATCTGACGAATAGCGGTGTATGCAGAGCGACAAATGTGAGAGATATGATTATCGAGAGACATGTTGTTGGACAGAATATAACCAAGATTCCTAGCGGAGAACGTTAACTGTACGTTAACTTCATGAGATGAAGTGGGGAGAGCTGAGTTAGAGGATGATCTGTGATCGTGAATAAGGAGTGCTTCCCTTTTTGTCATCCTTAAGCTTCAACTTGCTGAGTGTCATCCATGTCTTCAATGCTCTCTCGCAAAGTCCGGACAGCAGAATCGACAAGAGAGGGATGGGTATGCTTGTATAGCTAAGTGTCATCTGCGGATGACTGGCTCCCAACAGCATGCATCCCGAGCAAGAGGAGCAGTGGTCTGGCATACATTGTGAGCAGAACCGGGCCTAAAACGGACCCCTGTGGCACTCCGTACATCAAGTCAGCACTGCCTGAGAGACAGCCATCGACAGCGACCGCCTGCGTTCTATCGAGAGGTAGGACCTAAACCAGAAATTCCAAAGTAATTTTCAAGCATTTTGTAAAGGGTTTCATGGTCAACAGTGTCAAAGGCCGCACTGGGGTCTAAGAGGATCAGGATGGAGATATCACCGCTGTCCAATGCGAGCAATAGGTCACTGGTGACTCTCAAGAGAGCTGTCTCAGTGCTGTTTCTTACTTCTTGTCTCTTATTAGGGCTTCTTACCTCTTCTATCTTATTAGGGTTTCTTACCTCTTCTCTCTTATTAGGGTTTCTATAGGCCGACTGATTAGGACAGACGAGAGAGTGGTCGTTTAAGTAAGCAACAAGTTGTTTTAGAACTAATTTTCCCAATGACTTTATATAAGAAAGATAAGTTAGATAGAGGTCTATAATTTTTTAAAATTATTTTCATCCAGACCAGGCTTCTTAAGCAATGGTTTGACGACAGCCGACTTACAAAGAGAGGGAAAAGTGCCAGAAGACGGCTTTCATTGACTCTATGGGTTATCGTTGGGAGCAAATGATCTAACGATTCAACCAACAGGGGGTTGGGATGGGATCCAAAGAACATTTATTTGAGTTTCTTACCTCTTCTCTCTTATTAGGATTTCTTACCTCTTCTCTCTTATTAGGGTTTCTTACTTCTTGTCCTTATTAGGGCTTCTTACCTATTCTATCCTATTAGGATTTCTTACTTCTTGTCTCTTATTAGGGCTTCTTACCTATTCTCTCTTATTAGGGTTTCTTACTTCTTGTCTCTTATTAGGGCTTCTTACCTATTCTATCTTATTAGGATTTCTTACTTCTTGTCTCTTATTAGGGTTTCTTACTTCTTGTCTCTTATTAGGGCTTCTTACCTATTCTATCTTATTAGGGTTTCTTACTTCTTGTCTCTTATTAGGGCTTCTTACCTATTCTATCTTATTAGGGTTTCTTACTTCTTGTCTCTTATTGGGGTTTCTTACCTATTCTATCTTATTAGGGTTTCTTACTTCTTGTCTCTTATTAGGGCTTCTTACCTATTCTATCTTATTAGGATTTCTTACTTCTTGTCTCTTATTAGGGCTTCTTACCTATTCTATCTTATTAGGGTTTCTTACTTCTTGTCTCTTATTAGGGCTTCTTACCTATTCTATCTTATTAGGATTTCTTACTTCTTGTCTCTTATTAGGGCTTCTTACCTATTCTCTCTTATTAGGGTTTCTTACTTCTTGTCTCTTATTAGGGCTTCTTACCTATTCTATCTTATTAGGGTTTCTTACTTCTTGTCTCTTATTAGGGCTTCTTACCTATTCTATCTTATTAGGGTTTCTTTCTCTTATTAGGGTTTCTTACTTCTTGTCTCTTATTAGGGCTTCTTACCTATTCTATCTTATTAGGGTTTCTTACTTCTTGTCTCTTATTAGGGCTTCTTACCTATTCTATCTTATTAGGGTTTCTTACTTCTTGTCTCTTATTGGGGTTTCTTACCTATTCTATCTTATTAGGGTTTCTTACTTCTTGTCTCTTATTAGGGCTTCTTACCTATTCTATCTTATTAGGATTTCTTACTTCTTGTCTCTTATTAGGGCTTCTTACCTATTCTATCTTATTAGGGTTTCTTACTTCTTGTCTCTTATTAGGGCTTCTTACCTATTCTATCTTATTAGGATTTCTTACTTCTTGTCTCTTATTAGGGCTTCTTACCTATTCTCTCTTATTAGGGTTTCTTACTTCTTGTCTCTTATTAGGGCTTCTTACCTCTTCTCTCTTATTAGGATTTCTTACCTCTTCTCTCTTATTAGGGTTTCTTACTTCTTGTCTCTTATTAGGGTTTCTTACCTCTTCTCTCTTATTAGGATTTCTTACTTCTTCTCTCTTATTAGGGTTTCTTACCTATTCTATCTTATTAGGGTTTCTTAACTCTTCTCTCTTATTAGGGTTTCTTACCTATTCTATCTTATTAGGGTTTCTTAACTCTTCTCTCTTATTAGGGTTTCTTACCTCTTCTATCTTATTAGGGTTTCTTACCTATTCTATCTTATTAGGGTTTCTTACCTATTCTATCTTATTAGGATTTCTTACCTCTTCTATCTTATTAGGGTTTCTTACCTCTTCTCTCTTATTAGGATTTCTTACTTCTTCTCTCTTATTAGGGTTTCTTACCTATTCTATCTTATTAGGGTTTCTTACCTGTCCTCTCTTATTTGGGTTTCTTACCTCTTCTCTATTATTAGGCTTTCTTACATCTTCTCTCTTATTAATGTTTTCTTACCTCTTCTCTCTTATTAGGGTTTCTTACCTCTTCTCTCTTATTAGGGTTTCTTACTTCTTGTCTCTTATTTTGGTATCTTAAATACAATACAAAACTCGTGGGCTTCAGTAAATTGCAAAATCTGTCAACTCCGTTTACAATATGTGCTGAGCTCACCACGGTTGTCCTTTGTTTGCTTTACGCTCGATAGCGTCATTACGCCACGCTAGTCTGATTCTACTAATGATACAAATAATTATTGAACTATATTTCTTCTATTCTCTTGTTTGGTTTGAGCCTAAGTACTGTTTCACCCATAGGCTGGCCAGGCCCTCAAAATAACAGAGTTGCCCACCCTCACCCATAGGCTGGCCAGGCCTCGTCATCAGCATTGACAAGTTTCACTATACCGCTAGTCCAGTCTAACTATCAGGCCGACAAAAAACTCAGCATCAGCCTTGACATAACGTCACCATCAGAATGGCATAGCCTCACCATCAAAATTGCATAGCCTCACCATCAGAATGGCATAGCCTCCCCATCAGAATAGCATAGCCTCAACACCATAATGGCATAGCCTCGCCATCATAACGGCATAGCCTCATCTTCAGAATAGCATAATGTCCCCAATCAGGTTACCCCCCCCCCCCCACGGTGGTATCAAGAACATTGACCTACTTGTAGCCGAGGATGACGTGGAGTAAGTGGGCACACCATTTTTAACTGACTTGGTGCATCTCCAGGTCGTGCACCCCTTTTTCCAAGTCGAGTTGACGTCATGACACACATTTTTGCCATTGTCCACTGTTGAACAGCCTGGTGAGTAAAGAAAATATAACTATGAAACACGGCATTGCTATCCTCCACAGTTGAACAGCCTGGTGAATGCAGACAACACATTGTGGCACACAATCATTGTTCACAAAAGTTAGAAAAAAACTGTTTCATATTTTATAGAACCCTTTCTAAATGTATCTATATTACGGTTCAAAGTTTTTATTCCGAGATTATCTGTAATCTATCCCATGATTTACATTATGTATGTAGATACAATGATTTACTGGCATCTATTTTCATGATTTACTGGGATCTATTTTATGATTTACTGGGATCTATTTTATGATTAACTGGGATCTATTTTATGATTTACTGGGATCTATTTTATGATTTACTGGGATCTATTTTATGATTTACTGGGATCTATTTTATGATTAACTGGGATCTATTTTATGATTAACTGGGATCTATTTTATGATTAACTGGGATCTATTTTATGATTTACTGGGATCTTGGATCTATCCCACGATTTACTGGGATCTATTTTATGATTAACTGGGATCTATTTTATGATTTACTGGGATCTATTTTATGATTTACTGGGATCTATTTTATGATTAAGTGGGATCTATTTTATGATTAACTGGGATCTATTTTATGATTTACTGGCATCTATTTTATGATTTACTGGGATCTTGGATCTATCCCACGATTTACTGGGATCTATTTTATGATTAACTGGGATCTATTTTATGATTTACTGGGATATATTTTATGATTTACTGGGATCTATTTTATGATTTACTGGGATCTAGTTTTTGATTTACTGGGATCTATTTGATGATTTACTGGGATCTATCTCATTATTTGCTGGCATCTATCTCATGATTTGCTGGCATCTATTTTATGATTTAATGGGATCTAGTTTATGATTTACTGGGATCTTTTTTATGATTTACTGGGATCTATCCGATGATTCACTGGTCCAATATATATCCCATGATATGCTGACTTTTATCCCATGGGTTACTGCCTATCCCATGTTTTACACGTGAATACATCTATCCTATCACTCACGCGTACATTCATTGTCATCTATGCGTGCTGGTTGTACAAACCGTGATCTCTTAGTTTAATATTTAAGCCCAACAGGTGACATTGTAAGGGCTTCATAGAAAAATAATCAATCAGCCCAACCCCATTCTGTCGTTAGCTTATACTTCACTTCTCTATATCTCATACTTCTCTATATCTCATACTAAACTTCTCTATATCTCATACTAAATTTCTCTATATATCATACCCACCTTCTCTGCATCTTATACTCATCTTCACTTTATCATTTACTCATCTTCTCCTTACCTTGTTCTCACATTCAATATACCTTGGACTCACCTTCACATTAAATTTAGCCCACCTTACTTTTTCTTTAGCTCGCCATCGCGTCATCTTAGGATTAATGTTTCATCGTATCTTTGACCCATCCCCACCTCATCTTTGACCAATTCTCACCTCATCTTTGACCCATCTCCACATCATCATTGACCCATCCCCACCTCATCTTTGACCAATTCTCACCTCATCTGTGACCCATCTCCACCTCATCTTTGACCCATCCCCACCTCATCTTTGACCCATCCCCACCTCATCTTTGACGTACCTTCTTTGTAAATAGAGAACTGTCCGCTCCTACAAAAGTATTCGATGCATGGTGGGAAGCCTGGAATTTTAAAGGGCTTTCCATCTGGGTAGGTGCCACCGTTCACTTTGCACTCCCCTGAAACAAGACACCATACCAATTAATTTGAACTCACCATTTACTATAAGGTAATCCTCAGTGCGACTGGTTTGTTTGTTTGTTTGTTTTTTTTTTTTGTTTCCATGCATGCATGTATGCAAGTATATATGTATGTGTGTATTTTTATTTGAATTTAATCGGATAATTTATAACAAGAAGATAAAATTATGGATCGCCATAGAATTCGGAGCCTGGTGATCCCTCACATGGAATCCACAGGGCAAAAGAAAGGGAGGGGGGGAAGGCTTAAGAATACACGAAGACGCGAGCTGGAGGCAGACATACGAAGCACAGGACACACCTGGATGAAGCTGGGGAGGAAATGACACGACCGTGATGAATGGAAAATTTGTGTGGACTTCCTATGCTCCAGACGGGGTAAAAGGCGTGAGTAAGTAAGAAAGTAAGTATATGTAAGCTCAAAATGTAAGTAAGTACGTGACAAAATTGGACACGTTCAATCGACCCGATCCAAAGATGGCTCCTGAAAACAATTTGGTCAAGATCCCTCTGTCCCAAGAGCTGGAATTATACAACAGTAAAGTGTGGTGAATAACGTTGAAATAAAGAAATATTTTCAAATGCCTTTATGGTGCTACGCTATACAAATTTGTGTAATAATAATAAGCCTTTATTCATAGCTTTGAGCTTTCATAAATGTAGAGTAGGAATGTTTGGTGGTTTTTTGTTGTTTTTTTTATTAAGGGGGGGGGGGGGCGGGGTTGGGGGTATTTTTTTTTCAGACACATTTTTAAAAAAACCCAAAAAACCCCCCCCCCCCCCCCCCCCAGACTCGCAAACAAAAATTTCTTTTCACGCCCTGAACGGTATAAATATTTTAATGAAATTGCGAAATTCTTTTCTAAATAATCTAATTTAATGTAGTTATCAGGAATATTATTTCGCGAAAATCAGTGTCTTCATATTACCTTCATCTTCCCTTTGAAAAACTTAATTTTAGGGGTTGGAGTTGTGGTGGGGGTGGGATGAGGGGGCTGAACATATTAGAATGTTTTGTCATCGGCAACAACTCCACACGTCTATGTGCACTATTTCAGCTCGATGGTTTAACGGGAAGTGGATCAGTTAGCCGCCCGAAGATTTTGCCCTCCAGCCAGCCACAAAAGCGAAGTTAATATAAAGCAATGCTTTCCAACCTTTCTTATAACGGAATAGTCAAAGTTGAATTCGAATGCACAGTAATGCATCAAGCCACTCATATCTTGATGAAGGATACTCAGTGGACTTATCTTGTAAACTATTTTATATTGCCGTTTTTGTGTGTTTCGGTGCGATTAATGTTTTTGCTACTCCGATTTTGACGTCATCGTCTTTGCCAAAAAAAAATTCTTTGTACCTAGGTTGCAACAGCCGTTAACTATTTAGTCAATGTGTTTACTTAACAAAGAAGTGTCTAACAGTGGTAAGATATCAATCGAAACAGTGATTATAAATAACAGTGGTATAATACAACCAATGGTGCAATACTTTACATAGTTTAATGGATATTACAGGTACTGGACAAAAATACAAATAGAGGCAGATACTGGACAAAAATACAATTAGAGATATCTAGTACTTATCCACTCTAAGTATCGAAAAAAAAAACAGTGTTAAATAATAAGTGCTCGTCAATAAGTGCGACAATATTGAAAGATGAGCAAAAATGATCAATAAATTGATCGTGGGCCCTTAAGATATAGAAGAAGAAGAAGAAGAAAACACTGCCATGTTGCATATATCCTGACATATAGCAAGGCATAAATCACTGCCACGCTGTATATGTCCTGACACATAGCGAGACATAAAATACCGCCAAGTTGCATATGCTCTGACATATAGCAAGACATAAAATACTTCTACGCTGTATATGTCCTGACATATAGCAAGACATAAAATACCGCCATGTTGCACATGCCCTGACATATATCAAGCCGTATGCTCTTCCTTCTTCACTTACCTGTCGCGCGTTTGACAATGGTAGCCGTTTCCATGGTTGCTATGAAAGCAGCAGTAACGATCAGTACTTGGAGCAGCTGTGGATGCAGCACGACAGAACGTTAGACTTTAGGAAGATACAGTTTCAAAAATGTATTGGATGCAATAGTCAAACAACACACATTCAGAAGACACAGTCGACTAGCTGCAAATGTTTTTAGTGGTTACCATAGTCTCCTTTCTGAAATTAAGTGGACGCAATAAACTGTGGTAATAACAGGCAACAACGGCGAGTATTACACAGAAAGTACAGACCTTCATAAACACTTGCTTTAGGAAGAGCCTGAACATCAAATTGCCCAATACCATCACTAACAAAGGACTTACCAGGTGCCCATTGATGAAGATATCATAAAGAAAAGATGGAGGGGGGATAAGGCATACTCTCCGAAGACCCCCAGATAACATCACCAGGCAATCGCTAACATTGGAATCCATAGAGAAAACGAAAGGGAAGGAGGCCAAAGAATACATGGAGACGCGAGCTAGAGGCAGACACGCAAAATATGGAATACACCTGGAAGCAACTGGAAAGGAAAGCACAGGACCGTGATGAATGGAACATTCTTGTAGACGGCCTATGGCCCAGACAGGGTAAAAAGGAATACAAAGAAAAATAGAGTGCATGTGGTCGGGAGAGTGGTAGGCGTGAATGTCCAAGATGACCACGGCCTGCCTGGGAACTGCACACACGACCATGTGAGTAGTAAAGAAATGAAGAAGGAACACTTAAAGTGATGCATGTATAAATAATCTACGTTTATTTGAAAGATGTTACACGGGATTAATCGAAGAGGATTCAGCCAAATTATTGCTGACTAAAAACATTGAGGGTTCAAAATGAAAGGGAAACATTATCCAGACGGCAATGCTGGCGCCTAGAACACCGGATTGCGCGTCTAGAACACGGAATTGTGCGACTGGAACAAATTATTGCGCGTCTAGAACACATGTTTGCGTGCCTAGAACACAGGATGCACGACTAGAACACAGGATTACCCGGTCACTATCGGAAACGACAGTTGCCATAAAGAGTTCATTTGGAAGTTATATGCAGTCTTGTTATTCAGGGATAACTTTTCACATTGTTAATTAATTCAAAATACTTAGTTGCTAAATAGTAAGCATTAAGTCCATAGAAGTAGCTGATTAACCCCACATACAGCAAGGGAAATCTGATAAACCAGACATCCATCAAGGGAAATCTAATAAACCAGACATCCAGCATGGGACCATCTGATAAACCAGACATCCAGCAAGGGGTCATCTGATAAACCAGACATCCAGCATGGGACCATCTGGTAAACCAGACATCCAGCAAGGGAAATATTATAAAGTCTACAAAAATTTATATATTTTTCGATTTCAGTGTAACAAATAAAATCTTAAATTAACATGTTACCATTTTCCTGGTTTTGAAATCAGTGAGAAGCCCTGATTTGGATGTGGATGGCTGGCGGACCCAAACGGCTGACTTGAGAATGTCTTCACCGTAGAAGCGCTTTCACTTTTATAAGGTCTGGACATCGCACGTGAGTCACGATTGCCAAACATGGCGATAAAATCTGGTATACCTGTGATTCAGAGTGAAAGTGAGACATTCAATTCATGTTCTTATATTAAATAATACTTTTAAAAAATTCGGTGAAACTGCTCTTTACAGCCATGTCTCTAAGATATAAAAAAACTTGGAGTGGCCATTTTAACCAATTTGCGTAATCCGATCAACAAGTTAAAGATTAAGTTTTGTTGGATTTCAAACGACTGGCCGTAAACAAATTTTTTGTGTGTTGTTGTTTAATGGATTCGGTGGAGGTGAACGAGGGTAACTGGATACATTCCTTTCTTTCACGGAACTTGTTTGCGTCGATAAGTCTCCTTATTCCTAAAGCTTAAACGTGCTTGTCGCTATTTAAGACGTATTTTTTTTCATAGACTCTCATAAGAAACTGTGTTAATTGACGGTGGGACGCTGTAACTTTAAAGTGTTAACAGTTGTCAATGGCGACAAGGCCGTGCCACGTCAGACGTCAAGTCTCGCTTTAAAAAAAAAATCTTTATGAGATCAAAAGTTTTGAACAATTGTGTACGTTGCACGTGATTTCAGGATCGTTTACACAGTCCTTACATTGCATGGCATATGTTAACATCAAATGTGTACACGGCATATTTATATGTGGACAAAAATAAGTACATATATAATATTCTTTATTGATCCAAATAAATTAAATGGAAATGTATATATACTTTGTTAAAAAATGACATTGTACATATTCATTTTCATCACATTGATAAATACACATTTTTAACCAAGACAATATTTTACAGTTATAACAATTGAAACAGAAGACATCTAAAGTAGTTCTCTAGCGTAGAAATGAACTATTAATGACTTCCTTGTCGTGTACTTCTTACTTCGTGTGACAGACAGCGATCGCGCTTTATTCCAAATAAAACTTATGGGACGCGCTGGATTTGTGCACTTTAAAGTTGTAAGACTTCTAGGGGCAAGATAAGATTTAGATTTCTCAGAGTTTCAACCAAGGCGCAATATAAGGTTTTAGATGTCTCAGAGCTACAAGCAAGGCGCAAGGCCATTATAAGGTTTAGAAGTCTCAGAATTTCAACCAAGGCGCAATATAAGGTTTAGATGTCTCAGGGTTCCAAGCAAAGCGCAAGGCCCATTATAAGGTTTAGACGTCTCAGAGTTTCAACCAAGGCGCAATATAAGGCTTTAGATGTCTCAGGGTTCCAAGCAAGGCGCAAGGCCCATTATAAGGTTTAGAAGTCTCAGAGTTTCAACCAAGGCGAAATATAAGATTTAGATGTCTCATATTTCCAAGCAAGGCGTAAGGCCCATTGTAAGGTTTAGACGTCTCAGAGTCTCAAACAAGGTGCAATATAAGGCTTTAGATCTCTCACAAACACACACAAATTAAAAATCATAAATTAATAAATAATGAATAAAAATAGATTCATTTATGAAAACTATTATCTTTAAATATGTGACGTTCGCAATTCAAAATAAAAGCACCATCACCTCTACTCCTCCCACATCCCCAAAATCCATTTTATGGTATTTCCAAGAGACTTCAATCTTTGTTGACTGCTGTACTTTTTAAAGCTACGGAAAGCTGTCGAAAACATGTGCACCGTTATTTCATGTCAATCTCACGTACTCTAACGTGGAAAGGGAGAAAATGAGATATTTATTTATTTAGGCATTTTTATATAGCGCTTACCTTAAAGCTCTAAGCGCTTTACAATTATTAAAAACATGTAAACTAACTACAATAAAAATTAGACATTAGGATAGTAACTATTATACTATAGAAACAATTAAAATGGCTATAAAACGAGGACACTTTGAGAGATTTAAGAGGAGAAAAAAAAACCCACTCCTTTGTGCAATTTCATATGTATGGGATCAGCTGACCAAAAGCTGACCCGAGCTGCACCGCTGTCCGTTCCTCTGGTTCAAAGGTCGATGAGAAAAACGATACAGGCCTGTAGTAAACGCTCTCAGCTGTGACCAATCAGATTTGACGCACAGGCACACACTGGCCATTTTTTTGTTTATGACTTTATAAAGTTAAATGGATTATGTCCGTTTCATATCCACGACGTTAAGACGAACCGAACCGAGCTAAGGAGGCAACTGGCCACTAAATGACCACATTCAACCACACATGCGGCAACTCTACTGGCTTCCAATATACCCTCTCGCATCAAGTACAAGTCTGCCAATCTATGCTTCAACTCGTTCACTGACCCTCACTTTCCTGTCTATCTCTCTGAACTGTTGCTTCCTTACATCCCCACAAGACAACTACGCTCTTCAATTGACAATAGAACCCTCTCAATCCCAAGAACCAAAACTAAGACCATCGGTGAACGCTCCTTCTACTTCCATGCGCCCACGTTCTGGAACCAGCTCCCCTTCCACATCCGTCATTGTGAAACCTCGTCCACTTTCAAAAAGTCCCTTAAAACCCATCTGTT